TAAATACTATATACTATATTTATAAATTTTAAAAATAATTTTATTATATTATAATTTTTAATAAATAATTTTATTATCATATGTACAAGTACATAAATAATTATTAATCGGAGATAATCCTCATAATCGTTTAACGATCACTCAGATGGGGATGATTATCATCACGATAGACTACCACCTCGATAGGGATGATCATATAAGTTACGCGTGATTATAGTTTGATAGCCCTACAGAATAGAATTGTGCGTAACAAACAATTTTAATAGTGAACAATTTTAATGAACGATTTTATTATTGCGTAATGAACGATTATTCATAATCACATAATGAACGATATTATAATTGCGTAATGACTAATCAGTTATAAATGATAAATAAATATTAAAGAAAAAATATTATTAAACCTATAATAATAGAGATAATAGAACCTATTTACACTTACCAAGAAACAAAGACAAAAACCAAAAGTCAGTTAGTGCTTGGATCCGTTCAAAAAATCCGGTGGATTTTCTATTAGATATCCGTTCATATCGGATAACGAAAATATTTCTGCAGATAGCCAGATATCTATTAAACTATCCGATACTATCCGATACCTCAATTAATAATAATTATGCATTAATATTGGCATGAATAAATAATACATTTTATACGTAACATATATCTTTTATTAAAGCATTTTTTTGGATATATCTACTAAACTATCTAATACTTCGATTAATAATGATAATGCATTAACATTTTGGCATGAATAAATGACATTTTTATACGTAACATTGAATAGAGAATTTTTATAAATTCGTATTTTATCTTGAACGTAAAAATTTTTTTTACATAACTTATTCATAATCGTAATATCATAATGATAGATAGTGAAGATTATTTATCTAGCGAAACCTCAAGCGAAATTTGCGAATAATAATATTAATAACGTTATTACTACACATGCGGTGGATGATACATGTGCAGTAGATGATACGGATGCAGTGGATGTGGTGGACAATAATCAATTTAAAAAAAGAGGAAGTTCAAAGAGAAGAAGTTGGGTATGACCATTATACGACTTCGCCTACTAAATACAGATTAAAAGACCAGTGTAATGAATTGGCAAAAGAAGGCACAACATGCAATCATATTATCGAAACAATGGTAGTGCGTTATAAAATACTGTATTTATTAGCATTATTTTTCAGAATTATATTACTTTGTAAATGCATTGATAATATTAATAAAATACATATATTCTGATTGCGGCTAGCTTTTTTTATAATAATTCTTATAGTAAAAATTCGTTCAGTTTGACAAAAATTTTCTATTTAGATTTTTTGTTATAAAAATTCCATTATATCTAGAATCGACTATATTTCTGATTAATTCAACGGATTTATCCGGATAATTTACAAGCGGATATCCAAAATTCGCAGCTATCCGAAAAATAGACTAAATGGATATCCGTTATCCACCGGATCTGAGCTCTAAAGTCAGTACTTATCGCTAACTAATTATTGATTTTCTACTGGCACTATTTCACCTTACCGATGAAGACTTATCGATGAACCGAAGCTCCATTTTTAACGTTTCCGGTAAAGTACAAACCTGAAAAAAAAATATATTAGTAAAACCAAAAAGAATGGAACAAAACAAAAGACAAGAAAGAGAAGCTTAAACTGGTACTTATCTCATAAAGGCCCGAAGCTCCATTTCTAGTACCATTCCACATTCCCAGCGAAGCACAAACCTGGAAAAGAAAAAAAAGTTAGCAAAACCAAAAAGAACGGAACAAAACAGAAGACAAAAAAGAGAAACAAAAAAAGAGAAACTAATACTTATCTCTAAAAGGCACGAAGCTCCATTCCACATTCCCGATGAAGCACAAACCTGGAAAAGAAAAAAGAAGTTAGCAAAACCAAAAAGAATGATACAAAACAAAAGACAAAAAAGAGAAACTGATACTTATCTCTTAAAGGCCCGAAGCTCCGTTCCAAGAAGTGTCATTCCACGTTCCTGTCGATGCATAGACCTGAAAAGAAAAAAAGAAGTTAGCAAAACCAAAGAGACTGGAACAAAACTAAAGACAAAAAAGAGAAACTGGTACTTATCTCTTAAAGGCCCAAAGCTCCATTCCTAGTATCATTCCATGTTCCCGGCGAATCACAACCTGGAAAAGAAAAAAAAGAAGTTAGTAAACCCGAAAGAACAGCGCAAAACAAAAACAAGAAAATTAGAACCTAGATTTATCTGTAAACAAGTTGCGAGTTTTTTTAATATACAAGTCTCAAAAATAGCAGGAAAAAAAAGAAGAAAAAGGAATTAGACAATAACATTATTGTTAAGCCAGTCCCAAATTTCCTTCAAGACCCGAATCTCTATTCCTGATGCCATTCCACATTCCGAAAATGTACAAACCTAGAAGAGGAAAAAAAGTTAATAAACTGAAAAGAATAAAGAAAACAAACATGAGAAATTAGAAACTAGACCGTAGACCAGTTCAAGATCTAAATCTTCGTCCTTAGTGAAACGTTTACAGTACCTGTTAATTTGTAAAAAAGACAATAAACGTAGAATATTATTAAACTTCTACCGCTTGTGAATTTAAATCCTATTGTCTAGTATACAATATTTTTATTCATAGTAGACCCACCTCTTATAGCGTGATTCAGCGTGATTCAACTTGATTTCTTTGTAGAGGCACTCGCTGCGAAGTTATTTACTTAATAAAGTATCACGTCGATATTTGATTTTTTTTGCAGTTTGTTATACGTTAAAAACTTGTGATTTTACAGTATATACTATATAAATACTCGTGTAACGATGAATCCGGAATATATCGGATTCGAATGTCCCCCATGCTGATGTTTTGTGATTAAAAGATGAGTGTCGATCTCCTGTTAATATATTAACACTACGCCCTTATACGCTCCTGGCTTCAGGCTACATCTTCGACGATAGTGAGCACAGCGAATACACGTGGTTCGCTGAGGAGACTGTTTAAAACCGTTGGGATGGTTTTTAGAGCATAGTCTCCCACTATTGCGTGTGGACAAGCGTCTTTGTGGGGCACCTCAGGTCACTTCGATACTTACCCAATTTATATTTTTATTAGGTCAAAACATTCGCCTCGTCGATTGGAGTTATATTTAGATAGATTTTTTGTATTATATTTATGTACTTATTATTATAATATCGCGTAAATAAATTTTAAAAAAAAAATTATATTTTGTAATGATTAAAGATGAAATTTTAATTCGTTAGTCGATTTTTTAAAAAAGTTTATACATAAAAAAAACAGTGCATTTTAAAAATATTAAAAAAAAAGTCTTAAAGAATACGATGCTAGTGTTGTTTACTAGATACGTACGTATTGTACTTAATTCTTGTCTATAATCTTTAGTGCTACATTTGATCTAATGATTTTAGTGCGTTCACTACATGTTATTATGTATAAAATATGTAATTATTTATGCACAACTTTTCTATACGTATTAATATACTGGTTTTTCTAAAAAAAAAAAAACACTAAATTGCAAATAATACGTAGTGAATACAAACGAGTTAACCCTTTGGATAAAAGTTAATAAATATATCATATAGCAAAAATAAAAAAATTAAAGTGATTGATCTAATATTCCAAGAATTACATTTATGAAATTGAAATGTTGTAAATATAAATCTTTATGAGCCTGAGCTGAGCCACAGTGATTAACGACTAATAAATATCACCAATTCAATAAAAAGAATTAACCATTTATAAGTTTAATGGCAATCTTTCTACCACCAATTAAATTATAGAATTAATGAAAAATAGTTTACAAATTTATTGTAAGTTCGAATTGTTACTGTTCATATTCGCAAGCAAAATTAATGCGAACGAAAGATTTAAGTGAATTATGATTAGTGATGTGCCGCGTACAGTACTATACGTACTGTACGGTACGTACCTGTTATCGTTTAGCTTGTAACGCTTTATACGTAGTACAGAATACAACTACGTATACATAAATAGTACATTATGTTCGTAAATTCCCAATAAAAAGTATTTGTATAAAAATTGTAAGTTAACAATTTTAATACAATTATGAGCATTCATACAGTTTTTGTCACAGTATTTGTAAATAGTTTGTACGTAATAAATATATAATAAAAAAAAAAATTATAGCATATGATTTCATTTATTATACGTACATTTATTACAAATTATTTACAAGCACTGTAACAAAAATTGTACAAATGCTCACAATTGTATTATCGCGGTTTGCAAATTGATGTTGTTGGTGGCAAAACCGACGAAACTCGCTGCGCCGAATTCGACGTCACGGGACCCGAAAACGTGACGAAAACCCCG